GATTTTGTTCATTATTTAAAATTTGTTCCTTAAATCGCCAGTTTAATCTGTCTTTTACAAAATCCTCTTTGATTATCATTATTAGTGCATTATGATCAGACCATGTTATATTAGTAATAGATTTTTTTTCTTTGTTATATCCACTTCCGCTATCAAACAATCTATTTTTCAGTAAACTTGATGTGTACTAGAGAAACAAGTATAATCCCTCTCTTGAGGATGCAATACCCTCCATAGGTCGCGCATGCCACTTTTCCTCAAGATGTCACCAAAGGTCCCAGGCGATTCCCTAACAGAATCTACATTTCCCTTCCCTCTCAAACTATTCCTATCTAATGTATTGAAGTCTCCAAGATATTTAATCCTTCCTTGTCTGATTCTATCTACCTTATTAAAATAGTTTTTGTTTATACCTATTGGGGAAGTGGTAAGGGGTATATACATTAACTATGGTGTATATATGGCTGTTAATTTCTCCAATAAGAATATGATACCTGCCTTCTTAATTGGTTTCCTGATAAATCAACTTAAATGCCACCTTGGCTCATATAAGAGTTATAACCCCTTTTTTCTTTTTTATCACTAGGCATAGAAGAAAGAAAAATGTAAGGGTAGTCTTTAGATTTAAGCTGCAATTTATCACATGCACGCCAGTGAGTTTCTTGCACACCGCACACATCTATATATTCCTTTTTTTAGAAAGTTTGAAAAAATCATTCTCTTTTGAGTAGAATTCAACCCCCTTACATTTAAAGATACAAGTTTTAAAATGTTAATTCATAATCTGCTTGCTCTCCCTCCATGAACCCCTCCCATAGAGACCACCCTAACCTTCTTTCTTTATATAGAATACATGACCATCAACACAAAACATGCATACATACAACACAAAAAAAACGAAACCCCCAACCTAGAGGGCCATAAAATGCCCTCCATAGGAAGCATCATCATATAACTGATGTGCATCCGGTTTAATCTTAACCGCCAATTGCGATTAATCACAGGGCATCGAACTAAGAGAGAGAAGGAGAGAAGAAAAAAAAAGTAATATATAAAAAATCTGTAGGAGGAAACATAATAAGCTATGTAAATAGCATATATGTCTTAACTTTACTCCTCCTCCCCCACTCTCGGTTCCAACATTTTAAGACTTATATTCCATTGTCAAAACAATCTTAAAATATCTAAGTATTTTGAAACCTTTTTGAAAAAGCTTAATGACCTGTCACTAGAACCATATAATAAGAAACATCACAAAAACCATAATATACCTTTAGAACTAAAAAACAATATATAGATTACCATTCAGTACTTTGAAATCTTATAAATACCTTCCTGCTTGTGTGCCTCTATCTGTTACTTTTTAGCATACTCCTTGTGAATTATCTATGTGTAAATACACTCTATTAACCTACTTTTATAAGTTGTCACTATGCGTCCTCTGTCTTATTTCTTTATATATAACTAGAACCTTTATAATTTTATGTGAATTATATCCCGTCGAAAATCCGGTTCTTACAAATGTGCCAAAATTTAGGTATTTTCCCTTTTTCCTGTTGTTTCTACCCCCTCTCCTTCCACTCCCCCGCCCTCAATTTAGTGCCTGTTATGACTATAAAAATATAGAATTTGTGTATATGTTTGGGTATCCTAAGTGCTAGAATGAAAAAAGAGAGAGAAAAAAAAAAAGAAAAAATCAGTTATAAATAGTTCTAAAGCAGCAGGCATTCGCAGAGAAGCTTTTTCTGTTTTGTTCTCTTCTTCTCTCCTTTTTTCTTCTTTCTTAAACTCATCTGCTTTTCAGCGAGCCATTGTTGTAAACTTTTTGGATCTTCAAAAATGGGAAAGCCCAGGAGTATTTTATCATGTTATTACGTAAAATTGAAGTGTATTCTGCAAATACTTTCCGTGCCATTCTTGTTGCTATGGAGAGATCATTGAATATTTTAATTTCTTCATATTTGGAATCTTTTATTGGTTTTGTCAGACTTAAATCTGAAAGATTGTAAACGTACCATAACTTCTTTAGAGACATGATCGGGAAGACCAGCTGCTTTAGGAATCCTGTGAGCTCTTTCAATACGGTGTGCTTTATTATCCATCTGTATACCGAGAAATTGTAAGAATTCTATCAAGTACGGCCTCTAAATTGCTTTGTGCTATGTTCTCTGTGTTCTCTGTTATTCCTCTAATTCTGATAGTCTTTCTTCGGAATCTGTCCTCTAGGTCTGATTTTTTTATTTTATTTTTTACTAAGGAGTACAGGTTTACTGGAACCGAAAAAGTTAAAGTTATTGGCAAATTCCATGTATTTACGCAATATAAACATCTCTAATTGAGCTTTTTAATATATTTAAACTCCGGTTAAGTTGAACATTTTGTCTGTTTAATTCTCTTGTTATGTCTAAATGCGGGTGTTATTTCATGATCTGTACATGTATAGTATTTTCAAGAAGTAAAATACATTTCCACTTAAAACTGTTTTTATCCCCCACAGACCCTCACTTATTGTGCACTACGACCCCTGAAAACATATGTCACATTACCCCACCGTCTCGTCTCGAGCACCGATCTCACCTGCAGGGTCCACCTCCTCCACACACCGTGCACTAGCAGCACTATCCCAACATGCAGCGGGAGCTGTACCTGAAGGTGGAGTCTATGATGCACCAGTGCCCACCCCTTGGGCCTGGAATGCACCCTACAGACCTACACTATGCCCAGCAGTTTCAGATGCTTCATCAACTTCTCCAACAGCAGCATGGGACAGAGTATGTACCGTCGAAAATCTCATATATGTTGAATAATGTGTGCAAAAGATTCTGCAGTTCACCATGTGTATTTAGATGGGGAAAAAAAACAAATATTATCACAGTTGTCTCTCTGCATTGTATTTAAATAACAGCCACGGTGCATTTCTAATCCATTCTTTATATTGTGCGAAGATATGTTTAATTGGAGGTATGAACGGTCCTTAAATACAAAACGATGCCCCACATAACAAAAATTAGTCACAAAGATCTATTGTGCAAAACATAGCACAGCCATTGTTGAGATTCTGTTTAGTGAATTATTGAATAACCGGCAATGTATGTTGCTTAGTTCATGTACATTGTAGGTCAATTATCCCCAACTCTTCTTTCAATTTTTACTTAATTATTTTTTAGTGGTAATATCTAAGAAAATGTATTTAAAGTATTTTGGCACTGTGTTTTGAATACAGATATATTGTAAGTGTATAGCTCAGTGCTATGCTAAGTTGTATATTGTGCACCCAAGGTTTTTACAGTTACATTATAGATGTCATTGTTATGTAATCTAACTATATGGGCAGGGACACCAATAGTTCTGGATTTAGGCATTTCTAAGTTTTGTTGCTATGAGGATACTAGCAAAACTTAGATTTCTGGTTTTCCTTGAATAGCATAGACCAGAGGTGTCCAACAAGTAGATCCACAGATGTTCCAAATCCACAGCCCCCATAATGCTCCATCATTCTAAAGGCATGCAAAGCATCACGGGAGCTGCGGTTCCACAATACCTGCGGATCTACCCTTTGCTTATTTAATTTTTTTTTAAATTCTTTATTTTGCTTGTGCTTGGCATATCAAACAGAAATATAGTGGCATTTTTCTGGATATTTTGATAACACTTTGGTGTAGCAATAGCAAGAAATTCCAAGACACTGCACTTTTTTATATATATAATAAAGGGGATAACAGTATGTCAGCAAGTAAATTCAAACATGCTGAACATGGAATATGTCATTAGGGAGGAAGACTTAAATGGTGAGTATAACATTCTGTGGTTGCTGGTAGTGCTGTGAGCTATAGCAATATATAGTAAAGTAGCATAGATTAACATGCTTAGCCTATGAGAGAGTAGCCTAGCTGGGAATGCCCTCCGGGGTCATAGTGAGGCTCTACAAGAGGGTCTGTGATTTTTGATTCGAGACAATCTATTTATTTTTTGCTGTATGTTGTATTGTAATAGTGTATGCTCTACTTTTTCTTCTAAAGCACTAAATTTTTTTTTATCATTTTGGATATTTCTCTTTTAAATTCTTCTGATACAACATACATTTCCTGCTTATTTTTTTTCAAACTGAGTATTTAGACATGCGTTAAATCTTTCTCCATATGTTGTAGTTCAATTATTGGATTGCTTTGTGTCTCTCTCTCTGATTCTTTTTGGGATTGATCGTTTATATCTTCAGCCTCCCCATATCTCGATGATTCATGATGGCTAGTTCTTTCCATTTTTTTATGTGGTGAGAAGACATTTGAAAGCCGCTTTTCTGTTTCTTGATCCACTTTTCTTTCTTTCTTCCACCTTGCTTTAGCTTGTTTTTTTTTTGTTGCCATAAGAGGGAGGAGGCAGGATATATATCCTGATCAGTGGTATATACCAAGAAAACTTTTTAAAACAATCTTCCACTTTTTTTTCCACTGTTTAGTGAATATCATCTTTTAAATCAGTATTTTATATTAGACACGGGTTTGTACTCTTCATTTACCTTTCTTTTTACTCCTTTTTTATTTTCTTTGATTTATACAGGAGTATTTGAAAGGCTATTAATTAAATTATACACTTAAACTCATTTAGTTCTTTCAGATTAGATAATATGTAGATAACTATGATGAGAAATACCCAGTCTCCCAGAAAAATTTGTTTTAACTGAGTACTTGCAATTTATATATTTTGCATGTGGCTTCTCTCCATTCAGGCGATGCAATTATTGCCTACCAAGGACCTCGCGATCACATGGCCCAGTGGGGCCGAAGAGGAAGCAGGGCGACTCCCTGGGCTCCCAGGTGAGTCCCCAAATTGCGATCGCCGACATGAGATCTCCGGCGACCGGGTAAGTACATAAGATCGCAGGGCGTTCTATGCCGCCCTGCGGCATTTAGAGCCGCTTCCTTAAGGACGGCATAGAACACCCTGCGGTCTTAAGGGGTTAATAACATAAATATAAATAAGAGCTTTTTTAAATAAGTGTTTTAAATAGTCACATAGTTCTGTCCCCTGGCAGGAACAAAAGGTGTTATATTCGAGACGTCCCATGAGTGGCCAGATTGGGGCTTCTGGTTCTCTGGTGGTGTATCAGTCACACCAAGGGATGCCAGGAATGTTGTAGCCTCTTTGGGTGCCACAGCTCTGTAGGTCTTGTCCTCTGCATATGCTATTAAAGCCCTTGGAGTGGACCAACGATATGTTCTCAACCTCCGGTTGATGGGTCGCATGGCTTGTCTCCATTGCAGGGTAGAGCGAGTGAGATCTTGATAGAAGGTCAGGTGGTGTGTTTCAAAGTGTACAGGTGCTTTGTCCCTTATTGCATTCAGGAGCTTTTGTTTATCTGCACAGGATTGAAATCGGACCATTATGTCTCTTGGGGAGACAGTGAGTGCTCTTGGTGACTTAGCTATTCGGTAGACACCATCCAACACAATCCATTTAGCCATTTTTGTAGGCAATTCTGAGGCTAGTAATCTGCTATTAAGATGGGGTAGCTCCTCCGATGCTACTGTATCCGACACCCCTCTTATTTTCAAGTTTTTCCTCCTATCTCTATCCTCGCAGGAGTCCACTCTGAGGTTGGTGTTAGTGTTCGAGGATTGTAAATTATGCACTGTCTCCTCCAGTGAGGAGAGGCCTCGTTTGAGGTCTGACACGTCTTCCTCCGCGACTCGCACCCACTCACTGATGGCCCATACTTCTTCCTTCAACAGAGCAATGTCTGCATCTAATAATTTTCGGATGCAATCATATAGATCCAATATGTCCTGTTTGGTTGAGGGAGCAGAGGGTTGCCAGTCAGCGGGTTTGTTGAGAGATGACGGGACAAAACGGCTAGGCCCAGCTTAAGGTCGACTAACCTCATCATCCAATGGGTCAGTGGAGGGCTCCTTCCTGGCACGTTCAGAGGGCTTCAGCCTTGTTTTTTGCAGGAGAGCATCATGCCTTTTGTCTCTCACCCCTTAAAATACAGTCTGTGTTTTTGGCTTTGTGCAGCCCATCATCAAGGGAGGCAGCTCTGCCTTAGAAGGAGGTGAGTATAGGGTCCAGTCAGCAAAGGCCACAGCGTATTCAGTGGCCTTCATCAGGCCTGTGGCCTGAGAGTCCTCCTGATCTTATGGGATGATTTGGCCTTCGGGTCATAAACGAAGGGCATGGATGTGTTCCCTGTGTGCTTCCTTGCATCGATTAAGCACTGCTGGGGGTTGATGTGGCTGGGAACGGGTGATATTTGACAGATTAAATGTTTGGGGCCCAGAGAGTTTAGGAATGGCGTCTGCTCCATCACATCTGTTATATTTTAAAGGCACATACACAGAATTTGACTAATATGTCTGTATAAATAAAAGACAAGTACTTTTTAAGTGGATTTTAGAAGTAATATCACTATAATAATTTTTGTCACTTTAATGATATTTAGCTCACTATAATCATTGTTATAAGCTCAGTCCTTTGAACCAGCCTGTCAATATAAAGATAGAATACAAAGGAGAAAAATAAAACAATGTTTCTATTTCTCCATTTCTTTAGCAATGTTTGCCCTGGCTTTGCCTTGTCAGAACGGTAATTTGCTAAATCTAAATGGGGAAAAAAGCTCAGAATATCTTGTGAAAAAATGTTAACATGAGCTACAGGTAATTATTTTTAATGGAGTAAATTCCTGATATGCGACAGTTCCCCTTTAAATGTATTTTTTATCCACACTTTGAAAGCCATGAAGTCATGGATCGGCTTTGACACTGGAAAGGTTAAAATGTTGTGCTACACAATAAGCACACACAGTGTACCACACCATATTAGATGAGACATTCCTGGATAGCAAACAAGAATGTGAGCCCAGGGGAATTAGTTCTGTTTTTATTTTTATTTATTTTTTATCTGGTGTGCAGTACAGAAAAGCTGATTTCCACAAATCTATTTAACAGTCCTTTGTGATATACAAAATAAAAAAAAAGCTACTTTCAAATATTGTCATTGTATAAAACATGAGAGCGCGGCATAAAAAAGGCAACATATTTTAAAATAACGGGAGCAAATTTACATAAAACTAATAAAATGACAATTAAAAGATGTCTGTGCTTGATTCATTTCAAAACAATTTTTATATTTCCATTTCATTTAGCTAAAGCCTTCAGGAGACAATTACAGATAGTGAAGTTTGAAACATTTTCCATTTGTGTTAGGTGTAACTATTTGTAAAGATATGGAAATAGCAAAAGAAAAACAATACATCTTCAATTTTTCTTTGTTTTATGATAAACACATTAAATCATACCCAGCGACTTGCAAATACATCTCAGCAATCAAAGACACTGTGTTGTCTACATAACATATCAAAGAACACTAAATAGGAAATCGTTATTCCTGTTATTTTTTTGTTTTGTTTTATTTTTGCAAACCTGATCTCTCTTGTTTGCATAACTAGCCCACTGCTAACTATCCCAATATGCCGATTAAAAATAATATTTGCTTACAAATGCTGCTAAACAATAGAAATATTCAATAGCAAAATTGCAAGTACAATGTCTATAGTATAAGAAAATACAATAGGATTAAGGGGACTACGTAGTCTATGGATGGTGGACAGACCCCTGTTTCATCAAAAAACAGTAACTTGGTAATTCCGCAGAGAACATAGTTCAACACGACCTCTCACCGAATGTGTTCCTTTATTGGTGCCCACAAAAACAGGTAATAGTTTGACCTTACTAAGGTATTTTATTGAACCTTTGTTTTTTTCCTTCCCCAGTCACCCTGCCTTTTACCTTTTACATTGTCTTCACACTAAATATGTTACCCCCACTTACTGTTGTCCTCTTGTCCTACGAGACATGTCCTCAGTCTTATTCCCTTACATGCATTCTTCAAGCATTCTTCTCCAACTTTTACTTAAACTTTAATTCTTTGTGTTTTCCACACACTTTACTAAAACAGTTTGATAAATTACATTGGGCACTGCCAGGGCACCTGGACACTGGTGGGCAGCACAACCTAGGCCAGTATGTCCTAAATAGTGGCAAGAATTACTCTCCTCTTTCTAAGATAATAGGGAGGCAAATGGTTTAGCCAGGATTCCATATATCCAAATACTAACCCCTCATTCTTGTGGGTGAGCAGTAGACCTCTTCTAGTGAGCAGACCTCTTCAACCCACTGCATTATCCTGGGCATGGCGCATTGCCTCCACATAGAGGGGATCAGAGACCAAAAGAGTGTGAGCAATGCCACCAAATACGTTAAATTGCCCCTTCCTCCTTATTATAACTCAAGCACAAGTTGTTATTGTCAGTATTGATGGAGTAGAGGAAAAAGGCATTCTATACCACCTAGCATTTTTTTATACCAAGCCTCTTGCATGCCTGAGTTTATAAATATAAATATGTGGTTTACTGTTCTTTATATTTCACCAAACTGGAACTCAATATTTAAGTCATGTAACCCACTCTCTGAACACCAAGGGCTCACAAAGATATATATGTAACACTTACCCCTCCATTGTAGTTGGGGTTGATTTGTAAAAGATGAAAATAAAAAGCAAATTAGTGTGATATTGTACAAAGAATATAAAGTGAAACTTGTGCAGGTGAATGAAATAAAACACATTAAATAGAGCCTTTTTGTGGGTATAGGCTCTAAACTCTCTGGCTTCCGTGTATTTAATGTGGCAAACGTGACCCTCTTGAATCGGTATTTACCATATATCTCCGAATAATATATATATATATTGAAGGAAAAACAAGACAAAAAGGGAACCGTGTTTCTTGCAGTCTTTCTAGGACTGTATTAAAGATAGATTGCAGGCTCAATGCTGAAGAGGGAGTGGCCTGATCGTCGATGTAGGCAGACGCTCAGGCAAGAGCTCCGTTACTGAAGTCTGTAAAAAGCATTTCTAAACTCATGCCCTGAGCCGGGTATACCTTTCACGTACCTTCTATCTCCCTGCTTTGCCTCCTCCGCTCCTCAGTGCCTCCTCCGTTCCCCAGCCATCTCTCCAGTCACCTACTCACCTATGAAAGCCTCACAGAAAGGGTCCAAGCTTAAGCCCAAGGGAAGTGCTGTGCAATTAATGGTCCAGCTGGTCTCTAAGCTCACGGACGTCACTGACGATGCCGTAAAGTGTATGGTCGCAAAAGGTTTGATGGAAGTGTTGGACAGCCATGTAGACCTGGAAGAGGGATCTTCAACAGCTTCAACTGTCTCAACAGCTGACATCTCAGGGCTTGAAGGCACACAGTGGATTCTTGCGCAGATGAAGGAGGATAGATTGTTCCTGGCTGGTGAGATAGAAAGGAATGCTCTGGAAATAAGAATGGAGATTCAAGCAATAGGTGTCTGGACTGCAACCCTGGAGGTGAAGGCAGAGGCAGCAGCCAAAGCACAAAACTCATTGCTGTCACAGAGTCATGAGTGGGGGACATGATTAGATGCCTTGGAATTGACGTTTGAGGATCTTATTTATTGGTCCCGGCACAATAATATAAAAATTAGAGGTATACCCGAAACAAGAGATGAGGGGCCTGTGCAGAATATGGTACTTGAGATTTTTAAACACCCGTTACCCGATATTCCTGACCCTAGGTGGGAAATTGATAGGGCACATCGCTCAGCGGGTGCATTACGTAGAGCAGGAGAACGCCCATCTGATATTATAGTAAGATTCCATTATTATAGTACAAAAGACACAATTGTGCTTAAATGCAGGGGATTGACGTTTTCATTTAGGGATAAATCACTTCAGAAAAATTGAAAAAGAGGTCTTTGGGCAATTACTTTTATTTTATGGTAAAAAGTAGAAGATCAGTCAGAGATCAGTAGGAACTGAATTTTTTTTAATAATTTTTTTTATCTCCTTCCCTGCTTCTTCTGCTTTATAGCGATATCTTTGACATGTACCTTTTTGGGGCCTGAAATTGACTTTGATTTTGGTTCTTGAATATGACTTTTTGGTTTGGACTCTGGTCTCTGGTTTATATGGAGTATGGAAAATGGTCTATATGGATCATGGAAAGTGTTGGTATAATATGCTGGTGGTTTATTGGCGATTTGTGATCTATGATTTATGTTGGACATGATAGATTTCATGATATGTATATGCATGTATGGTATGTGAATGCATGTATGTATGTGAATATATGCATATGCTGGTATACATGGGGTATGTGTGTGTATATGTGTATATATATGTTTGTATTGATTCTAATTTTTTCTAACCTTTGAATCTGAACTAGATGACTATTTGGATTATATATGGGTGACGGGAGAGAGTGGTAAAGAATAATAAAATGTATAATAAATCTAAACTTAAATTAAAATTAAAAACTTTTTTCTGACTAGGTTTAAGGCATTATAAGATATAGATATGATTGGAAAGCATTAGTTACCTGGCCGGCTACATACCTCTTCATATCGACTAGGGAAATTTAATTCAAGGCTTCAGTTAGATGGGAGCAGATACACTTTGTCCCACGGCCGACTTAGACCTGGGAGGATTGTGTCCCCCAATTTGGTGAGTCCAGGGTGTAGTTTTTGTATATACTTTTGTTACTGTGATTTTTTTTTTTTGTTAATTTAATTTTATATTTTTCCTCTTTTTCTTTGCCGAGGTTTGGACCACTCTTACAGAATTATCAAACCTATCAGTATTATACTCGTGTGTCAACTCTTGTCTTGTGCTTGATATTTTATTATGGTTAATAAGATAGTCTCTTTAATTGTTAAAGGCCTTAACTCACCTGCGAAGAGAAAACTGATGTTTAAAGAATTGTGAAGATTGCAGGCTGATATTGCCTTTTTACAAGAAACCTATTTAAACAGATCTCATGTGCTTTCTCTTATGGATAAAATGTATGATAGAGCTTATAGCTCGAACACCCTCCGCAAGCATAACGGAGTGGCAATCTTGATTCATAAACGTTGCCAGTTTAAAGTCTTAAATACTTTACAGGATAGAGAAGGCCGTTATATATTTTAAGAGCTTTTCTGGGAAACCCCCACCCTACCTTAACAAAATGTTTTCCCCAGCTATTCCCACTTCCTATTAGCTCTGATCCAGTACCAACACTTTACTTAGTCTACCTCAATACAAAAAGAAAGCTCGATCCTCCTTCTCCTACAGAGCACCACAATTGTGGAACGACCTCCCGGACAATTTAAAATCTTCCCTAAGCCTAAAGTCCTTTAAGAGATCCCTCTCTACATACCTCAAAACAGAATGCACCTGTCATGCTTGATTATATATTTACTACCTGTTCTATGTTAAATTTTGTATTTATTGTGTATTAATATTGTTTTTGTATTTTATTGTACCCTAATGTAACAATGCAATGATTTGTGGACTCAGGACATACTTGAAAATGAGAGAAATCTCAATGTATCTTTCCTGGTAAAATATTTTATAAATAAAATAAAATAAAATATTAGTGTCAGGTATGCTAGGCCCTCGCAAACTTCCCTAGGAAAAGGAAAAAATCTGAATCTCTATTTGAGCTCCAGAAAATTATACGTAAGCTTGAATTTAAGCATGAAACAGCCCAATCAGAACAAACATGTCTGGACCTTAAAACAACAGATTAAAAATTAAAACACTTTTAATAGATGATGCTGCCTGGCAGTTGAAATCGACATGCAGATATTTCTGGCAGAGCTGGCAGGATTGATACTCGTTTGGCCAAATGCTTGAGGCCACATATGCACTCTAAACGATAACAGCTATTAGAGCTGCTTCCGGAACTTCGGGTTCGACGGCCGAAGAGATCTATGGAGCCTTTCGGGAATTCTTCTCTACACTTTATAATGACATCCTGGATTGGAATGGGGAGGATCCGGAACGGGGGATATGATTGAGAGAATTTTTGGGTTCAGTGAACTTACCCACTAGTCCTGTACTAATGTTTCTAATACCCCACCTCCTATAGTCTGTAAGGTCGTTTGAGCAGGGTCCTCTTCAACATAGCAAATCCTAGCCAGATGCGTAATAAATTGGAGTAACTATAAAGTGGATGCAGCCCGATCAATTGTATATGACTGATCGGAGAATGTTAGGTGATCGGCTATTGAGGCTAATTAGCACTTAACTATTATAGTGGATAGACTGATTTAAGTATGCAGAAGTCCGTAAAATCTACTTTAGGAATTAATTGGTACACATAAATGATGTAAATACATTATTGAAATTCCGACTAGTAGATAGATAATGTAAAGAAATAGTAGTTGTGCTGTAAGCACGCTACACTAATTATTGTAAAATAAAAGATCGTCCTCAAGGATATTATGGCACTAGAAAAAGTGCAGAGGCGGGCTACAAAATTAATAAAAGGAATGGAACATATCGGCTATGAAGAAAGGTTAACAAATTTAAACCTATTTAGTTTAGAAAAACGTCGCCTGAGAGGGGATATGATAACATTATACAAATATATTCGGGGCCAATACAAACCATTGTGTGGAAATCTATTCACAAACCGGACTTTACATAGGACACGAGGCCATGCGTTTAGACTGGAAGAAAGAAGATTTCGTCTAAGGCAAAGGAAAGGTTTTTTTACTGTAAGAACAATCAGGATGTGGAATTCTCTGCCTGAGGAAGTGGTTTTATCAGAGTCCATACATATGTTCAAACGGCTACTAGATGCATACTTGCAAGAACAGAATATTCAAGGATATAATCTTTCAATGTAGGGTAATAACTGCTTGATCCAAGGATAAATCTGACTGCCATTCTGGGGTCAAGAAGGAATTTTTTTCCTAGCTTGTTGCAAAACTGTGCTTCAAACTGGTTTTTTTTGCCTTCTTTTGTATCAACCGCAAAAAACAAATGTGAGGAAGGCTGAACTTGATGGACGCAAGTCTCTTTTCAGCTATGTAACTATGTAACTATGTAACTATATGTCCTGAAGTAACACAGATAGACAGGGCTAAATACAGAAAGCACACAGTCTCCCCATCCATCCCAGTGCCAACAAAGGCACCTAAGTCTAACCCCAGAACGAAAACCACAAAAAAGACTATCAGGATACGAGTCTATTATGATAACACAACGGCATGAATGAAGCCAAAAACAATACTGATGTCTTTGATGTGAACGAAATCAGCTGGAGTACATATCTATGCTGTTTGAGAAAGGCAGCTGGATACTGCTAGTACAATAATGGGGGAATAATATAACGTGATTACGGGACATATAGAGAAATGGTCTTAGAGATCGGACTTGATGAAGAGCAGGTTGAATACTAAATTGTAGGATTGGAAAATCTAATATAGATAGTAGGGATAGCTGATCCTAACTAGGTAGGTGGCAAAAATACTGTGCTATAAACATGCTAGTTAGATCCACGCTAATTGTTATAAAAGTCCTGTGCTATAAACATGCTAGTTAGATCCACGCTAGTTATTATAAAAGTCCTAGGAAAACGCACCGACAGACAAAAACAAAAATAGAAAAAAGTAAAGAAGACACACCATCTATCAATCCACCCCCGTGCCTTCAAGGGCACCTATATCTACCCCCAGCTGAAAGAGAAAATATCGAGAAGACTATCAGAATAAAGATCTATCATGATAATATAAACAGCATAAATGAAGCCCTGAAGCCCCTGATGCGCGCTTTTCGCCCACTTAGCTCGTCTGACGGACTTCTGCATACTTGATCAGTCTATCCACTATAATAGTTAAGTGCTAATTAGCCTCAATAGCCGATCACCTAACATTCTCCGATCAGTCATATACAATTGATGGGGCTGCATCCACTTTATAGTTACTCTGATTTATTACGCATCTGGCTAGGATTTGCTATTTGTACTATTTATATTAGAGTTCTCTATTTCATTATTTCCAGGGTTATATCTTTAGTTAGTATTATCCTAACAATTTAGTTCGACCTTCTAGATTTCACTACTGTTTGTTCTGTTACCTATCACGTTTTATTACTCCTCCATCAACACACCAGCAGCACCCATCTGCCGTCTTAAACAGAACAGACGTAAATTAGACGTATGCTACAGCTGATTCTGTCCACACTATTCAAGACATCAGTACTGATTTTAATGTATCACTTTGTATCTTTCCTTTTAGTGCTATAATTTTTCGTTGTTTCATCACTTTGTATCTTTTCTTTCAGTGTTATAATTTTTCGTTGTTTCCATTATCATCAATTTATTCCTTGTCATTGATATTTAATATTTAATAAACTCTTTTTTATTTTTGGATCTTTTGATCTTTTTAGACGTGCCTTATAACTTGTACTTTTTACTAAGAAGTTTTGGCACATGTCATCTTCTCCCATTCTTTAGGTACACTATTCCTTAGTTTTTTACCCTTTTCATTTGCATTAGAGAAAGTGGAGCTATTCAGGGAGTCTGGATTGGAAGGGAGATCTACAAAGTCGCGGTTTATGCTGATGATCTATTAATTTCAGTAGTAAAC